ATACAGGAGCTCCAAGGTTAGTGAGGAGGGAGCGGAGGTAGACCGGAGGGATCGGAGTGGGTGGAAGTCGATGGCCGGGGATGGATATGACAAAAGTGAGAAGAAGGTTACTTCTCACTTTCCCACAGTGGCCACAATATGAGGAAAACTTCCGGGGATACCCGGAAGTCACATGAAGGCAGGATCCAGGGACCAGAGCATGCGGTGCAGGAAGCGCACACGGGAAGTGGAGCGGGTCCGGACGCGGGTCCGGGTCCGGGCTAAGTCAGGGTATGTGCCCTGACACTTACCCACTTGCCAGGTTGGCAATCTTGTGAGAGAATTGCCTTATCGAGCACTGTGGAGTGAGTAGTTGAAGGGTGGGATTAGCGACAGCTATTGGATAGTGGGAAAACCTTTGCGGGATTGGCGGAGGTCCTAGGAGGTCCATAGTAATGTTGGGTAGGTAGGAATATCAATAACCTTCTATGATTAGGATAAGGGGTACTGGAGATGGTACCAGAGATCGGAGGCAGAGGTGGACCAGAGGTATACTGGAGGGTATGGTGGAGGTGAGGGAGGGGACGGACCGGAGGTGGACCAGAGGTGGACCGGAGGTGGACCGGAATGGTGGCGGAGTAGGGCGGAGGTTGGGCAGAGTTGGTATGGATATGACACTTTCACATGAGGACATGCAAACATACAATTGGTTTGGGACTTCAAAGACACATTGTTCACTAAGACTCCATGCAAGGTTCTTGAAGGAGAAGATGAACGATTGTGTCATATCCGTGCATACCCGATCCCGACCTGACTCCCAGACCTCCTCCTTCACCACCTCTGGAGTCCTACCCTACCACTGTCCGTTCCGATATTCACCTTCGGTCCTGGCACCACACCTCCTCTCACCTCCCATGCCACCTCAACTCCTCCGTCCCTCTCCTGTCCTATCTCCATCCGCTCCGATACTCACCTCGGACCGAACACCACCCCTCTTGCCACCCTCCTCCTACTCCTCCTCCCACTCCTCCGCTCCCTCCTCACAACAACTCCACCCCTTCCATCATCCTCCTACTCTTCTCCCGTCCGCTCCGATACTCACCTTTGGACCTGACACTTTCCTCTCCTCCACATCCTTCCTCTTTCCTCTCTCTTCCCTCTGGCCCTCTTCTGTCGACCCCCTGCCAAGTTACGACCTTCCGCTGCTGTCCCGTACTTTGTACTCGGACACTGCTCGTACCTTTGCTCCGAGCCTCCGTCATAGCGTCCTACCTCGGACTTTGACTCCACCTCAGCCTTAGTCCATTGCACTGGTGACCTCATACTACGTAAACACCATTGCCAATATTCCTCGGACTTTCAACCCCGCCTCCGTAACCTCCGTAACCTCCAAGCTCCATGGATCATCTTTGGCTCTTTCGCCACTTGTAATGTATCTCTTGCATTTTCCCCTCATCCCTATTTGGACTGCTGCTTCTTCCCATTCTAGCCAGTTAGTCACCATCCCCACTTCCCCTCATCCTCCTGCCCCTCTGGGCCTTGCCCTCCTTACCTCCTTTCGGACGTATCACAGGTTCTGCCTTATGACCTTCGGTACCGCTCCGCTTCTGTCATCCCTTTGTTCCTTGTGCTTTTGCCCCCTCCATTATATATATCAGCGCTTGTACATACTTGTTTTAGCCCTTAGTCTAAAATCGACCTGAAATGCCCCCTAGAGACTTCCTGCTCACCTACTGTGAAATTAAGGACTGTTGAAATAACCACCTCAGCCTAACAGGGCATATGGTGTAATGGCTGTGCACACTGAGTTCGTGATCCAGAAGACTGGAGTTCGATTCCCAGTATGTCCAACTTTTAGGCTTCCCTAAAAGACCACGTCCAAATTCCAACATGGTGGACATTCTGTGGAATACACCAAGCACACCCAAATCCGGTTGCTGCCACGTGAGCTGGGCACATGAAGTCAAGCATTAAATTAGCCAGCCTGACAAAGTTTCAGGGGGTGTAGCTCAGAGCACTAAGGACCCAAATCCGGCTGCTTCAGACCACATGACATGGACATGTAGGAGATTAGCAGTAAGTCCGGCCTGAATATAAATTCAGGGGGTGACGGCTCACGGGTTGTTGGAACCCCGGTGGTTTGGGTCACATGTGGATCACATGGTCAATCCAATGTGAAGGGGGTGTGTTGAAATAACCACCTCAGCCTAACAGGGCATATGGTGTAATGGCTGTGCACACTGAGTTCACGATCCAGAAGACTGGAGTTCGATTCCCAGTATGTCCAACTTTTAGGCTTCCCTAAAAGACCACGTCCAAATTCCAACAAGGACCAAATGGACAAACAGCAATGGCACAGCGCTCCGCTTGAGTCGCTGAGGCCAAGGTCCCTCCTTGCTAAGTCTCCGGTTCCCCTCCGGAATCGTCTGCCCTTGCCCAGTTCTAACAGATTGGTGGCATTGAACAAAGTGACGAAACAGGAATGGATGTCACAGAATGGAAAGTGAAGGACAAATTGTATTAGTGAAGCGATGTCATGATCGTCGTTGTACATGTACATGATAAAAAAAGTCACGAGGACATGTTGGTCAAACAAATTAGCCAAATATTAAATAAGTCACAAGGACAAGTTTGACAAATGTGGAAAACCATCACATCAGCAAAAGTGGCAGGATTGGCGTAATATCGGGAGGACAGTGTGACTCTGCTGTGCAGGTAATACATCCTCAGTTCACTCAAAGTGAAACTGAGTATCATTTGCGATTGGCTATTATTTCATATAGCTGGTTGCCATTCTGCAAGCACAAGCACAGATTGAAAGGGGGAGGCACACGCAATGTGATTATTCTGTTGAGCAGCGTTGCAACGTGTTACAACATTGGCTTCACCATTCTAACGCGTCATAATACCGCTGGAAATGTTACAATGATTAAGCCAAAGTTAAGTGCGTTCAACGGCGATTCCGGATTTCCGACATCGGACTTCTCCCCTCATTTGCCGACCCCCAGAATTAGCCGAATTTTATTGTATGTATTATTTTTTATCGACATTCTTCATTCTGACCTCTACCAGCACAGGTTGGATCGTCGTAGGAAACCACCCACTGATCGGACGTACCTTACTGTTCCTTCTTCCACTATTCCCCATTTTCCTACATGGTTAAACAAAACACTTAAATATGATGTTCGTTCAAGTGTAGTCTGAGGTATTCTTATCAAAATTGGGAATAGATTGGCCTGGAGCTCACAGCCAGTTGCGAGCGCGTACAGACTGGGCGACACGCATTTGCGCTACTATATTGTAGTCGAAGATCGGGCGCTAATAGGCCTAGGCCACTGTGGAGCGCCTCGTTTGGCAGATAACGTGGATTCGAACACTATTTTTGTCTGACAAGGTTTCCTCTCAAGGAAAAGTGGATCAAACCGAGTGCCAATTGGATGAGGGGCGTCACGGGCATTTCTACATGCGGGCCAGTCTCTATCATGTATTTCCAATGAATCGCTGACCCTTGTCCTACCGGCAGCCTTGATATCTGGGAGCGGGCTTACCGCTGTGAAGTAGTGAAACTGCCTTTACCCAAGTCTCTCCTCGTAAACACATCAGAGTTCCCCACTCCACTTCAGGGGAATTTTATCAGCGCCATCTAACGGAACATTTACAACCTCCATCAAGCCCCTGAACTGCAGGAGTGTCGCTTTCTTGATGGCTAATCCACCCCCAGAGCCACCACCCACACAAGTCAACGTGGCGGCAGAAGTGTCTGATCCCGGTAACTAGTGACTAGCCCTATGTTGCAGGGCAAGTCCATTGGCACCACATCCGGGCGCACATCGCCACCGTACCGGATAAGATAGTACATCATCTAGGTGGAATCACAGGCGCTCTCAGAATATTCATTCGGTTGGGTCAGTGTCCTTGCATCGCATAATTTCGCACTACCAAACTGATAAGGCGGTTGGCAGGTTTGCCGATTGTATTACATTCTGAACGAGACCCAACATTCCAAAATCTGTCAACAGTGGCAACACTCTTTGCGAGTGTATCCGCATCGACCATTCAACTGAGGCAAGTTGTTCGAGCTTGTGCCTTGAAACCCGTGACAGCTTCGCTGCCGTGATCTAGCTATACGCAAGCGGATACGAGGATCGATCAGGCGGTCAATATCCTTTGGATCGTCTCGCTTGTTTTTGCCATCGCGAGCGCCATCAACAGTCAACTCAGTTATCAGTGAGTTTGAAGCACGTCGACAAGTTTACTTAATCATCCTCTTTAGATGGTCCTCGATGGTATTCATGACCCCACTTTCAGCTCTTCCTTGGCAGAGGTCCATGTGGACTCGCCGGTCGCCTCTCATCTTTCTTGTTCTATCCGTAATATCGTTAGCAAACTTTCATTATTAGGATGACTGGCTTATACAATGAGTGTACTGCTCCAGGTTCTCCGCGGGCACTGTCTGCTTCACATTCTCTCATTTTTCTCACCACCCGATCATCCCGTTCTGCGTCACGGCTGCTTCAGCAGTCTCAGCAGCAGGACTGCTCGTCGTCGGGACCTGGTTCATCGCGGAATATTTTTCATTTGGGAGCGGAACGAAGACAGGAGTGCGCACAACAGCCTTTGGTATCATCGAGCTGTTTCTGACCAATTTTTTCTGTCGCATGTAAAGGATTATTTATCCCCTTCAGCATGGGATTTGGCGAGGGATGGCGTTTTGAAATTTCTCCGATGGTGAGTCTGGGTGAGGAGTAGATATCTATTTCTAATTTCTCCATTCCGATGCGTATGGAATCGTGACCCGACCTGGCTCGTATCTCGTATCAAGGGCCTATCGGTCAGCTGAATTATGGTGCTCTCACTATCGAGTGTGGTTCCTCCTGATATTCGGGTATCTCCACTTACTGATTTGTCTGACATATGATGGGGCTAATTGTGTCCAGTATTGCTCTCTTTCCTATAACTTGCATCGTCATTGGTTGTCTTTTTTCTTACGCCCTCGGCCTCATAGATGTCGACATATCAAGGGAAAGTGTGAGGAGGATTTTTACACAACATCGGCGCCAAGGAGACTTAGCCCGACGCAATTCCATTCTCCCTACGACGTTCAATATCCCAATCTGGCGCAGTGCAATGGAGACGCGACTCCGAGATAATGACCAACTGCCGTCCAATGTTGGAGGTCAGTCCTGCTCATCTATCATCCTATACACGAATGACCCTACTCCCTGAACCCGACACACTCGCAGGTAATGATGCTGATGCACATGCGGTCGCTCAGTCCAGACCGAATATCAGGGCGATCCAACAGAGCTTGGAACTAGGCGATGGTCCCTCGAACCCAACCACTCCCGCCCAGAAATTTCGCAGTGCAGTCATCAAAGTAATCATGGGAAAACGTCGTGCTAGGGCGGAGGTCAAACGGGGGATGGAATCGGCACTACAGTTTTTGTCTCTAACTCGGTCGCCACGGGAGCACAACGCAATGATCCATGGCATCAACTTTTCTCACGACGGCCGTTACTGTAAGTCAAAGTCCTTTTTGTAGAAACACCATTGCTGAATATCAACATGGGTATAGTTGTTACTTTTTCAGGGCACGAAAACGATGTTTTAATCTGGGAAGCGAACCAAATGGAAGTGAAAGTCGTTGAGCGAGTCAATTTGCAGCGGTGCGGATTTGATCTCCAGTTTGGAGATCGCATGAAAACAATTCAAGTAATGTTATTGAGAGAGAGTCGAGTGGTAATAATCAAAGTATGTCTTACCAGCTAACTCCAAGCGTCAACTGCGCGATCTCATACTACTGTCAACCAGGGATCGTGGCTTCAGCAATTTCTACAAATGTGGTGGCTGCGGTGGCTCCTGGCGCCTCTGTGGTTTCAGGGGCCTCAGAAGTTTCTGCGGCTCCTGACGTTTCCATGGCTCCGGCAGCTTCGGCGGCCGCAGCGGATTGAGCGACTGGAGCGGCTTGAGCGGCTTGAGCGGCTTGACTTAATTGGTCGGCTCCTGCGGTTTGTTGGATTTCTGGTGATTCTGGGGCGTCAAGGGCTTCAGTGGCTTCACCCGGTGGGTTCTATAAAGTGGCTCAACTGGGTTTCCGATGTCAGTAGGAATTTTTCAGGGTGGGAAGAGCACACATCCAAGGCCACCCACTCTTGATTTAGGATTTGGACTGAAACCTTTACAGGGCACACGCCTCCCTTTTGCAGAGGATCTTGATTATGCACTCGAAGATGCTGTTCTTACCCGGGACGGAACCAAGTGAGCTTCTATTCATATAACCCATGATGTCAGCGAGCTGAATTTCATTAAATGCAGGTTATTGGGAATAGCTACAGTGAGTGCAACGGCAGACAAACATTATCCTGGGCCCTCAAAATCACCTTCAGAATGTCGAATCATTAGTCAGTGTATTGATGATGATGATGATGCGAGAAACTGATTAATATCATTGTAGTCTACAATGTTAAGACAAAGAAGATTGTTTTGTAAGTTTGTTGGGTGTTTGTGGACCAGCCATGTCATATATGTTGTAGCGAAATTCCCACCTTCGACTCCATACGGAGGATAAGTTTATCTTACTCAGGGAGGCGTTTACTTGTTATGTCTGATGGAAATGTACAGTGTTGCGTTCTTTCTATAATCTTGCATCTTACATATTACATGCTTTCATTCTAGACGCCACCGCGCCTGTTCCTTGTTTACCCTACCTGGCTTGTCCCATTGCACACATTCTACCTTCCAGATGAGGCGGAATACCCGACTTATGGCCAGTTCGGAATTCGCAGCCCCAGTGCCCTCATGGCAAGTGAGTCCGAGGAAGATCAAATCATCATCTGCGCCAACAAACGTAGGGTCCCGATTAGTGAACGTTCCCTTGCACTGACCCTCGATTCCAATCTTCTAACATGTAGGAGGGAACATCTTCATATGGCACCGTGAATCCTATCACCTCCTGCACTCATTCACAATTTCGATTCCCTGGGGCACTGAAGTCAGTGGGGTGACTTTCGGCTCTGAGCGCTTGGAGGACCACAGCTATTTGAAGGTGGCTGTTGCATGCACCGACGGAACTGTCATCATGTGGGGCTCGAAATGGGATCACCCTAATCCTCCCCTCCTCACTGACGAATTACCGCGAGTGGCTCGTGAAGCTACTGGAGGAACTACCGAAGAAGTTATTGAAGGGGGAGATGGAGGTGCTAATGAAGAGATTGTTATGGAGGTTTAAGTGCAAATCCCTCCGTCATGACCTTCTGACTCGTACTATTCTTTGTTTTCGTAACTTCTGTAGTCCAGTTCCTGATGGTAGGTCCTATCTAATGGATGGAAGATTATCTTGGTGGTATGGCACTGTATTGCACTGAGCCAGTTCAATTCGCTTCTTGAATCATTAATGCGTTGCAATCATTAATTATCGACATTCTTCGTGGAGTTCCCGATCGTCGAAGCCACGGATCGGACACTGATGGGCCTTAGGCCGCTTCGGAGTCTACCGGCCCCGTTTGGCAGATAGCGTAGAACCGACCACTGACAAGGCAAAAATGGAAACCGAGTGCCGATTGAATGAGAGGGCTTCAACCGGCATTTCAGCCCGCGCTACCATGCATTTCCAATGAATGGCTGATCTTCGTCCCAACCCGCGGCCTTGACATCTGGAAGCCGGGGCTTATCGCTGTGAAGTAGTGGACGGCGCCCAAGTCTCTCCTCGTCAGCACATTACTCTGGAGTCCCACGAGCTTTATTTCATCAGAGTGCCGCTTCCTTGATGGCCAATCCACCTCCAGAACCAACACTCACGCAACAAGCCAACGTCCCAGCAGAGGATGATAGGGATGTTTTCCTGGCCTGCCTCAAGGAATTTAAGGAGCTCGGTCAGAAGCTGGATCGCATCATCACTTCAGCTGAACGTCAAAAGCCCGATCGCATGATCCTCGCCTCAGCTGAACCAGTGAGCGATATTGCTCATACATGTACGAATTCTTAACTATTCCCTCTCTGGAGAGTGCACCTTCGGATGAATTTCTGTCCTTGTTAGCGCATTCTGGCCCAAGAAATGAGGATATCCAGGATATCCAGGATATCCAGTTTAAAGCATTTCAGCGGTAAGGGACCACAGCCGGTTGTTCAACTCAGTGTGACAAAACAGGTTGGAACTGAACCCGCTTGAACATTCCCCACATTGTGTAGCGAGATGGCGAGACTCAGCAGTGCCGTGACACGCATCGCCGACACTATCAAAGATCTCAAATCCGCGTATCATCTGATTCGGATATCGGAAGAATTTCGCTCTCGCTTGGCGTTGGTTTTCCGTATTCTGCCCCTTATTGCTTCCCCATCATCAAGTGCCAAACTGAAGAAACAGTGGCTCGATCGGCCATCGTCCTCCTTACCCATGCAGTATTGGACGCCAGCACAAGTTATCCGCGAGAATATTTATCTTGATGAGACTATGACTGGTACTCCCGATCGAGAAACTCTCTCCATGGGACTTCAGAAGCTTGGCCAAGGAGTTGATGTCTTTAATGCTGCTCTGAAAGGCCTTCCTGGGTTTCATGATATTCCAGGCTACAACGCAAAGGAGATCAACCTCTCATTGCGAAATTTCGCTCAAGACCTGAAATATTGGGGCCGTAATTTGGACAACTTCCATGGCTCGTTTTTCTTTTTGTTCTCATATCCGATATCTCGGTAAACTAAAAATCGACCAACCCAATATGTGTCACAGGGCAAACACTTTCGCACCACCTCAGGGCGCACGTTGCTACCATTCAGGCGAAAATAGCAGATCATCTAGCTGGAATCACAGGCGCTCTCGAGATATTCATTCACTTGGGTTGGCAGTTATCCTTGCATTCATTGTCCCTACAAACAACATTGATTATGACAGGTTTGCCGATTGTATTACGTTCCGAACGGGATTCAACATTTCAAAATTTGTCGACAGTCGCAGCCCTCTTTGCGAGCGTATCCGCAACGACGATTCAATTCAGGTAAGTTTTGTTTCGAAGTACTTACTTTGTGCTTTTAGAACGCACGCCTTGACAACTCTGCTGCTGTGATCATCTAGCTATACTCAAGCGGGTACGAGGGTCGAACAAGCAGTCAACGTCCTCTGGATCGTCTCGCTTGTTTTTGCCATCGCGAGTGCCACCAATAGTCAACTTAGTTATCAGTGAGTTTGGAGCATGCCGATCCGAGTTTACGCAATCATCTCCTTTAGATGGACCTCAGTTGTATTCTCGACTCCGATGTCGGCTCTCTCATGGTGGGGATCCCTGTGGATTCGCCGGATGCCTCTCATCTTTCTTGTTCTATCCGTAATATCGTTAGTGAGCTTCTGTCATAAGGATAAGCATGACTGGCTTATATAATGAGTGTGCCCCTCCAGGTTCTCCGTGGGCATTGTGTGCTTCACATTCTCTAATTTCGGGAATCACCCGATCATCCCAGTCTGTGTCACGGCTGCTTCAGCAGTCTCGGCAGTAGCACTGTTCTACGTTGGACTCCGGTTCATTGCAGAGTATTTTGCGTTTAGGAGCAGAAAAAAGACAGGGGTACGCCCTTGAATAACCTCTGAATGTCATCGAGCCATTTCTGACAAATAGTTTTTCTGCTGCACGTAAGGATGAACTTGATTATTTGTCCGGATCAGCAGGGGATTTGGCGAGCGATTGGGTTCTGAAAGCTCTTCGAAGGTGAGTCCGGGTGAAGAGTAGATATCTGTTTCTAATTTCTCCATTTCGATGCGGATGAAATCGTGACCCGACTTGTCTCGTATCTCGTATCAAGGGCCTATCAGTCAGCTGCACTATGGTGCTCTAAATATCAAGAGTGGTTCCTCCTGATAATCGGGTACCTGCTCTTACCGATTTGCTTGACATATGGTACTAATTGTGTCCAGCATTACTGTCTTTCCTATAACTTTCTTCATCATTTTCTGTCTCTTCCTTTGCGAAAAGTATGGCATAGAGACCGACGAAATATGGGAACATATTTGCGATTGGTTTCGGCGGATCAAGAATCTCGCACAAAATTGGCGCCAACAACGCTTAACCAGACGCAGGTCCATTCTCCCTACGACGTCCGATACCCCAATTTGGCGCAGTGCGATGGAGACGCGACTCCGAGATAATGACCAACCGCCGTCCAATGTTGGAGGTCAGCCCTGCTCATCTATCGTCTTGTACACGAATGACTCTACTCCCTGAATCCGACACACTCGCAGGCAATGATGCTGAGGCCCATGCGGTCGCTCAGCTCAATCTGAATATCAAGACGATCCACCGAAGCCTGGAACTAGGCGATGGTCCCTCGACCCCCATCCAGAAATTTCGTAGTGCAGTCATCAAAGTAATCATGGAAAACCGTTGTGCTAGGGCAGAACTCAAAAAGAAGCACAAAAAGGAGGAGATGGACTCAATGAAACTAGCACTGGGGTTTTTATCACCCGTTCAGTCATCACGGGAGCATACGACGATGATCCATGACATCAATTTCCGTTACGATGGCCGTTACCGTAGGTCAAAGATGTCTGTTGTAGGACCACCATTGCTGAATATCAGTAGTTGCTACTTTTTCAGCCCACGAAAAAAAAGTATTCATCTGGGAAACGAACCAAATGGAAGTGAAGGTCATTGAGCGGGTGGATTTGCGGCGTAGATCTGATCTCCCATCTGGAGATCACATGGAAGCAATTCAAGTAATGTTATTGAGAGAGAATCGAGTGGTGATAATTAAAGTATGTCTTACTAGCTAACTCCAAGCGTCAACAGCGTGACGTCATATTGTCTACCAGGGATCGTGGCTTAAGCGATTGTGGCTTCTGCGGCGGCTTCTGCGGCTCCTGGCGCTTCTGAGGCTTCTGAGGCTTCAGCGGTTTCAGCCGATTCTGGAGCTTAGTCTGTTTAATTTGTTTCATCGGCTCCTGCGGCATGCGGGGTTGAGGCTTCAGTTGATTCTGGGTCCTCGGAGGCTTCAGGGGCTTCATCGGGTTGGTGCTATAAAGTGCATCAACTGGGTTCCTGAGGTCGGGAGGAACGAGGCCGGTAGGAACGAGGTCGGTAGGAAGTTTTCAGGGTGGGAAGAGCGCACATCCAAGGCCGCCCACTTTTGATTTGGGATTTGGACTGAAGCCTTTACAGGGCACACGTCTCCCTTTTGCAGGGGACCTTGACTACGCACTCGAGGATGCTGTCCTCACCCGGGACGGAACCAAGCGAGCTTCTATTCACATAACACATGATGTCGACGAGCTGAATTTTATTATACAGATTATTGGGAATAGCTACAGTACTGAGTGCAATGGCGGACAAAGATTATCCAAAGCCATCAAAGTCCCCTTCGGAATGTCGAATCATTAGTAAGCATATTGGTGATGATGAGAAACCGATTAATATCATTGCAGTCTATGATGTCGAGACAAAGAAGACTGTTTTGTAAGTTTGTCGGGTGTTTGTGGACCAGCCATGTCATATATGTTGTAGCGAAATTCCCACCTTCGATTCCATACGGAGGATGAGCTTATCTTACTCAAGCAAGCGTTTGCTTGTTATGTCTGATGGCAGTGTACAGTGTCGTGTTCTTTCTATAATCTTGCACCTTACTTATTATATTACATGCTTTCATTCTAGACGCCACCGCGCCTGTTCCTAGTTTACCCTACCTGGCTCGTCCCATTGCACACATTTGACCTTCCAGACGAGACGGAATACCCTATTTATGGCCAGTTTGGAATTCGGAGCCCTGCCCCCGTGGCAGATGAGTCCGAGGAAGATCAAATCATCATTTGCGCTAACAAACGTAGGGCCAACGTCCCCTAGTGCTAACACTTGATTCCAATCCTCTAATGTATAGGAGGGAAAGTCTTCATATGGCACCGCGAATCGTATCGCCTTCTGCACTCGTTCACAATTTCGATTCCTGGAAACGCTGAAGTCAGTGGGGTGACTTTTGGCTGCGAGCGCATGCCAGCCCACAGCTATCTCAGGGTAGCAGCTGCATGCACCGACGGAACCGTCATCATGTGGAGCACGAAATGGGATCACCCCGATTATCCTGTCCTCACCGACGTATTTTCGGGAGCAAGCGAAGAAGCCACTGGAGGAACCATTGAAGAAGTTGCTGAAGGGGCTGGTGCAAGCGTCGCCGAAACAACTGTTAGAGAAGTTTAAGTCGTTGGCAAGTCCCTCCCCTTCGTTGGGTCAAGATCTATCTAAAGAAGGTACCTTTTCAAAAATTCCCCTCGGCAGTATAGTGCGCACTGTGATCACTTCCTTGCATGTAGCACACCATTTCTTTCCTTGGCCACTTTGATCCGCATTGTGATGTGTTGACTCTTCAAGGATGCCTTTGATCACTCATTGAACGTACCATTTGTCTACGCTCTAGTGACAGATCAGAAAATCGACGTGCTTCTCGAATTAGTACATTCTCATTATTTAAAGCACCTATTGAACAGTCTATCGAAAGGGCCTAATGAAGGGGCTGCTGAAGAGACTGCCAGAAAACCGCAAGTTGTGCCCAGCTAGTTCTGTCTCCATCACTGCTGCCTTATAATCGTGTGAAGGGTATTCTTTCTATTTATCTCAAGTTTGTGCCATTTATACAAGGGGACCCGGCGAAGTTTCGGTATGGCACAATCATTTCCTTGTACCGAGGAGCTTGAGCATCAGGTACATGTTTGGAGCTATGATGTTGACAATTGAGGGGGAAGGCGAGCATCTGAATCGAGTACTGTCGCAGGAGCAAAGCCGGTCTGTTGCATGACATTCCAATAAGTCGAAGGATCAGAAATAGAGCTCTAGCAGTCGGACATCTCAAACCTCACTGCACGCTTTCTTCCTCAGAAAGTTTGTTTCATTGGGTACGCTGGCAGTGCACAAGACGAGACGCTTGTTTATCAGGGCATGCAAGGGAGATATATTTCGAGCTGGTCTCCCAGTCAACATTCAAAAACGGGTACATAACTGAACCGCCGTCCACCTGGGATGGGTTATGATATCGTGTGGCACAAGAAGATCTCCTAAACTTGGTGAGGCAGTGGGAATGCAGGCCCGTGACCCCCCAAGGCGAACTCCATATCCTAATAGTACCATCGCTGGAGGAGCTTGCGACCATTAAAACCTTCGTCGACCCGTGGTTCCACGCGATCCCAGTCAAGTGGGAACCTTTGCGGATGAGTGCGCGGTACGAGTGCAAGAGGCGAGAGGACTCTCGATCCCATATAAAAAAGTCACCACCTGCGCAAAAAAAAAAAACGAGCCGGAAAGATGAGCACTAATCGACACACTCTGAAATAAACCTCACGTATGCTAGCACAAACGATGATCTGATCTTCCATCTTTGGTGCACCTACTGCGAACGTCGGGCCTGGGATGCCGAGCTGGCTAGAACCAGCGTATTCCATAGCGTTCGGTATAGGGTATGTATGCAAGAGAGCTAGCCATGTAGGATTGACACGGAACAACTGCGGAGGCGTCTGATGAGGCAGCATTAGGGAAAACGATTATTCCTTCAGCAGATGAAAATGATGGCTTACCTTCTCTTCGTGTGTGACGAGTAAAACCGAGCCAGAGACAGATAGACTTAAGCCTTGAACGTCATTGAGGGTCGGCATCTCGCTGATGCAGGGATAGCTCAGTATAACTGTTCATAAGAATTAGTGACCGACTTACTGAATAGTTTTCCTTTCTTCAATATTGAACACTATGTCGGTGGTGAGATCCTCCCGCGCTTCCAAGCATGTACAAACCGGTAGACTCACAAATGATACGACGTTCGGGACGTGACCTCGATGGTGCCAGTTGTTCATCATCAGGCGTAACATTCAGCGTGCCCACGGCCAGCAGTCTCGAGCGACACATTGAGCTCTTCAATCAATTGTGGGACAAACGACTCACCTTTTCCCATCGGGCGTAATAACGACTTCATCGAGCGAATACGTAAGATTGACCTTCCAGAGTTCGGTTCCATCCATGTCCTATGGTGATATTTTGAGACGAACTCCTAAGACTGGCTTGAGCAACAAGCCACACCATGTGATAAATATAGGTGCCCTCCGTGCACATAAGGGACTTCCCGTCCGGCATCCAAGTGATATTCTGCACTATGCCAACTCGATTGACTGGAGGATGCTTCTTACCGGTCTAAATAATGGACAATTATGAGAGATCATAGCTTCGTTCCGGAAGAAAACCTACTGATATGTTCCAGATAACGTAACCTTTCGCTAGCTTAACGGCCAATAGTTCATTATTCGAGGCCCAAGCAAGGCGTGAGGGATAGTTTGCTCCCTGGAATTGCAGCATGCGATGAAGTTGCATCAACGTGCCGATGCGCCAGACGATGGCAGTTTGGTCCCATGAACAAGTCGCCACTGCAAGCATCAATGCTTAATGGAAGTTTGACCATACAGCCGCCACGTTATGCTCACAGAAATCTCCGTCGGGACTGAACTTAATGTCCTGAATTGTCGCCGCATGCTCCTTCATTGTGTGAGATAACGATAGGGACTTGAGTGCAGGACCAATGGACGCCAGACTCATCCTCCATTCCTCCTTAGCGAGGCGATTATTGTTGACAACCTTCATTACGACTTCTCGGAATCGTTGGATCGGTTTTCTAGATCCTTTGTCCAGTTCCAGATTTGCCCGAATCCGACTTAGGGCCTGACTGAATTGTGAGAGTACCTGTGATTCCGCCCCACTCCTCGGTCCAATTTCCCGCCCCAGGGCATTTCCACCTGACGCAGCCATAGATAAGGTACGAGACGGCGTCATGAGGCCCGACATTGAACCTCGTTCCGGATACTTCATTTCCTTCTCCCGCTCATGTTCGAGGAAATCGCCCTCGATAATCCCAGACACGATAGGGAGCACGTTATCCCCAGGCACTGAACGCCTTCCCAGGAAAGTTCGAATACGGTTCTTCGGACCCGAATAAACTTTTGACGTGGAGCGAAGCCGATCAAGGATCCAGCCTAGCCTGGGATGCTGCCGGACAAATTCCCGCGGTTCCCCCACCAGCCACCGCAACGCAGGTGTTTGTCAGAAGCGTCAACGACGAGTTGAGGCGACTTACCCTCGATCCTTTGTTCTCCCTGAATGTACGATAATCCCTGAGGAACCAGAGACTGACGAGGAAAAGCGAACTTGCTGAAAGAGCTGCCACCGCTGTGACGCAGACGGGAATGTAGCGTGTATGCGGGAAGGTCGAGAAAGCGAAGCAGATCAAACCTAGGGCAAATCTGAAAAAGTATGGTTCCAGATAAGATAGAATGGAGAGGACCACGTAAGACGACGTACGTGGCTACGGATGCGATCAAAAAGAAGAGAGAAGTTTTGGTGGCCCAGATGGAGATCCACCAAGGAACAGCTGGAACAGGACTTGAGTACACTACCAGAGTCCAACTAAGACGGTAAAAGCGGCTACGTGAGCTTCGCGCATAAAAACACCTCCGGAAAACTCACATGTAAGCCAATTGACTATTAACCACGCCAGCCATAGAGAACACTAGCGACAATAGCCAGAACAGGTTCACGACTTTCTGTAATCTAGTGTCCGAATTCTGGTAACTTGAGACATCCCAATGGCACCACATTAGTGCCTCAAATGAAAGAGATTGTGATATTCACCTGAATTGGATGGTTGTCGCAGACACAGTGCAGAAGAAAGTTGACACGGTTGATAAATTCTTCAATACGTCCGTGGTGTACTGCTGGGAAAGCTTAATCGTGGGCAGGCCTAACAACTCCTGCTTGTCAAGAAATCACCACACAGCCAAGATATATCTGCACCCACAGATCTCAAAAAACACACGCAATGCATCTGTGACTGCATCAAGATGAACCACCATTTCGTCCGCTATAGTGGCAACGTGCCGACGAAGGGCAGGCAAATGGAAGCTACCCTTGAAGTGACTCAGATTGCGGGCCCAATAATGCAGATCTTGCTCCAAACTTAAAAACGAGTGGTCTACGTCTTCCGCGGTGTAGTCCGGAACGTGGTGGATACCAGGGAGGGTTTGTAAGGCATTCTCGAACGCAACAAGGTCGCGTGCCAGTCCTTCGAGTTTTTTAGGGAGCGCCTCCCTGTCTGAATTGAAGGGCCCCACCGGGCGAAACTTGCTCTGCTGGGTGACTTGGCGCTTTGATTTGAATCGTGGTGAGGTGTTGCGGACACGGGGTTTGCGAGTCGTGGACATTCGAAGTGCGTCCTTTTGTTTTTGTCGCTCTAAGGTTGGGGGGCGAACTATGATACGGACTAGCTGAAACACTTGAGACAGATGATCTCGGAGAAATGCTGCCGCAATGATCAGATCGACGGCAGAACTGAACCGCCGGACTTCACTGGTGATCTTCTCCAGTACTTTGTCTAAATTCCAGATCTTACTTTAATCGGACCAGACATGAGCAAGTTCATCTGTGAACGGGTTCTAAGGCGAGATGACACACCTCTCGAAAACTTCGAAGCGCTGTTTTTTCTCTTTTTCAAGCTCCGCGTCACCTAGGAGTAGAAGTGAGTGACTCCCTTGCCCACGTGGCACAGAGGATGACAACATACCAATATCAACGGGATCTTCGTCAGTTGGAGCTGGGTTATGGCCAGGACCAAGACCATCGCGTCTTTGAGCAAATTCGCTAAGGACCGCTAACAAGGAATCCCAATTGTTGTCGGTTGACCTATTGCGAACCGCTTCTGAAGAAGGCATGGACGTAGGTACAGGCATAGACATGGGGTGGGCGCCGTCGTTCGATTCAGATGGCGAATCATCTAGCGATGTTCGTGATGCTCGGCGCGACATGCTCAGAAATCTCTCTACTTGTAGGTTACGTTGAATTGTGTGAAGGGTGAGGGTCAAAATCGGTGTAGACGAACACCTCTGGGGAGAGGAGATGATCCTCCGGAGAGCACAGCAAAAGCGAGTTGCCAAGCACCTGGCTCCCCTAGCCAGGCTATTTAAGTACTAGGCTTGCACCCTGGCGGGAGCTGCAATGCGCGCGCAACCGAATTGAGAGCCTCAAGGCAACCTGCCAATCAGGCAATCCATTCAATCCTACATCGATATGAAGTGAACTCGGGCTTCGAGCTTTGAGAATTCAATTGGACACTTTACCCTCGAGAGGAAGTCTTACAACATGCCTTGGGCCTAGCCCCGTGCTCTTCAGGCCCCGTACCGGGAGTAGTAAAGCACGTTAAATATCCAGAGAAACACACACACACACACACAATATGGAAGCAACACGCCATTTACAAAGAACAGCAGCCCAAGGCGATGTGGAGCAGTCGATTCGGCATAGCCCGATGAGCGTAAGACTTGCCCATGTGTCGCAGCTCTGAGCTGAAAGTTGATCAGAATGCAGGGTACATCAGCAGATTGCGTGCAGACAGCACTTGAGCCGCACTCGCCCATCCGTTCTCATTGTACGCTTGTGAAAGAATCTGGATCCTCCGATGCGTTTTCCCCGTCCGAAAGCGTGAAAAATGATCAAGCTTTACGTATAATATAGTTCGAGACTTTCGCGGGTTGCTTCTCATTCCGGCTGCCGTTTCAGAACCCCGCAATATACTTGCATTGGACTAGTGAAAAGCAACAATACTCTATTTCTGTCGAAGCTTCCAGCCTAGTCAGCCATCTAATGATGGCCTATAGAGGGGGGGCCGTTTGGCCTTCAAATGGGCCTAAAAGGGGGTATTTACTAGTGGATGTCCTGGACATCCTGGTGAAGACTGATCCATTCACCAGGACATCCCCAGGACGTCCTAGGATGTCCTGGGATGTCCTGGGATGTCCTGGGATGATTCTATAATTCAATCAAATTCAATCAAATGCTTCTGTGATTCAATCAAATTTGTATTATTCAGGGTAGACATTCAAAACATAATGCCGCAATTGAATCTGATTTCCCATGACAATCCTCAGGCTGCTCAACTGTCTGTGCACAATGCTGGCCACTGTCTGAAGGGGTGTCAACACTGTTTCCCACGGCCCCAACACACTTTACGCAGATGGATAGCCCCTTTGAATAGCTTCCAGAATATATATTTTGAGACTGAATTGACCAATAAATCATCGAGAAAAACGCAAAATACTTTTTTGGACGCGAGTCTTTTGGGTTAGTGTGGCTGTCCACCTCATGTCTGTGCACAGTGCTGGTCATTGTCCGGAGGGGTGTCCAGACTGTTTCCCACGGTGTCAACACACTTTGCGTAGTTGGATAGCCCCTTCAAATAGCTTCCAGAATATATAATTTGAGACTAAATTGACAAGCAAGTTATTGAGAAAAATGCAAAATACTTTTTTGGATGCGAGTCTTTGGGATAGTGCTTGGGCCACTAAATTTCACTGACAGTCATCGAAGTCATCGAAATTCCCGGGTCACTGATATCCCAAAGACTCGTGTCCAAAAAAGTATTTTGCATTTTTCTCAATAACTTGCTTGTCAATTTAGTCTCAAATTATATATTCTGGAAGCTATTCAAAGGGGCTATCCATCTGCGTAAAGTGTGTTGGGGCCGTGGGAAACAGTGTTGACACCCCTTCAGACAGTGGCCAGCATTGTGCACAGACATTGAGTTGGACAGCCACACTAACCCAAAGACTCGCATCCAAAAAAGTATTTTGTGTTTTTCTCGATAATTTATTGGTCAATTCAGTCTCAAAATATATATTCTGGAAGCTATTCAAAGGGGCTATCTATCTGTGTAAAGTGTGTTGGGGCCGTGGGAAACAGTGCTGACACCCCTTCAGACAGTGACCAGCATTATGCACAGACATTAAATAAGTTGGACAGCCACCATCAAAGACTCGTGTCCAAAAAAGTATTTTGCGTTTTTCTCAATAATTTATTGGTCAATTCAGTCTCAAAATATATATTCTGGAAGCTATTCAAAGGGGCTATTCAACTATGTAAAGACCGTGGGAAACAGTGTTGACATCCCTCTAGACAGTGGTCAGCATGTGCACAGACCATGGGATGGACGAGTATGGCATTCCAGGACAATTTGCAACCATTGAATCAAACTGAATTAGGACATCTGACGGATGTTTGCAACAAATGAATGAAACTGAATGGCCAGGATGTCCTAGGACGTTTATAGTGAAAAAGGCCTTTTAGGCCCCATGCAAACGTCCTGAGGTCCCCCCTATAAAGGCCCACATAGTGGTTGTCCAAGGTGCTCCGAAATCTGTCGAGTGACTGGTACAACACGTGATGTTCCCATGCTAATGTCAGAAAACACGGAATTTCGTTTTAATGCGTTAAGAGCTCTCAACGCGTTTCAACACCTTATTGATCCATTCCAATGCTTTATTAATTTGTTCCAACACTTTGTTAGTCCGTTCCAACGCTCAATGCAAAAATCAAATTGTAAATACTCAGCCCCACTGTAAACATCCCTGTTCACAAATGCATGGACACGCTTCCCCTTCACTGCCAACCATGGCTGCAGCAACTGTACACTCACATTTCCATACCCTGTACTTCCAAGCCACATGGGAGTCCCCCATACTCAGGCAAACACACGTTCCATGATCCATTGCCACAAATTACCTTCACTTGCTTCACATTGATGTCTACCTACTTGATGGTCAAGCCACTCTCACAGCAAATGACCACTTCAGCAAGTGACAAATCCCCAACAACCCCACCGTTCTCTTCCTGTGTCATTTTAACCAGTGGGGTTCCATATGGGAGGCCGGGTGCTGAGTCGTAACATGTCATTCAGGGACAGCATGGACAACGATTCTGACCACACACAGAGTGCACCCCCCATCAACTGTCAGTGTCCAGCATAGGAATCTTCCTTTATCGCTCCATGTTCCACCACCCTCAATGTCCACTGCACATTCTTATTTAAGCCACTTTGTTCACTGAGTTCTAATTTATGTTTGCACTCATGTTTGTTACGGTTTAGCCGTAACCCCGAGCGGGAGTGGACTTGACGGACGTCTCACGTGTCTCACGTGTCTTCGTCTCACGTGTCTTGCCTATTTCAGTTCCGTCTCAATTCATGTAGCTTTGCGACTACCTGTATGACTCGGATGTCTCTCTTGTTTCACCTCGCATGTGTTAGCCTGTTTTCATGTATATAAGGAGTTGACCAGTGAAGACGGATTCTTCAACTGGTCAACACAGGTCACCAACCTGAATTGACTTCTTGTGATCTTGTGACTTGTGGCTCGTGATCTTCTTGCTCGTGACCTTGCTTCTCGTGATCTCACAACTCTCGCTCCGTTCCGCTCCGTTCTCACGCTCTTAGTGCTGAGAGGTTTGTGACAATGTTCTCCTGCTGAAATGAACAACAATCACGTTCAACTTTGTTTGAACTCTAACTCCACATAGCACCACCATTGAGAGTCACAATGAGTTAGACCTCAATCTCACAGCAGGTGTACACATATTGAGAATACTAAGTAACTTAGCCCATATACACTCAAAAGGCCTATGATTGATACAACTTTATGTCAACAATCAGTGTGGAGCTGAGAGTGCATGGTAGTGTAGCAGTTATGAATGTACTTACTATAATGATCACAGTGTTCCTCGGTTCAATTCCCACCTGTACCAACCATTTAATGATATTTAGTTCTGGTCCTATTCTGCAATGTGAGTCACCAAAATCAAGGATAATGTGTGGGGATGTAATGAAGTGAAGGTATGCTTCAATCCTGGCTTGCAAGGGGTTGTCTCTTTTTGTTGACCCTACCTTGTTGCCGTTGCAACATGTTGAAATGGAGGCAAAGCGTTACAACGCCTCGAAGTGTTGGAACGATCGAGTTCAGTGTTGAGAGCATTAGAACAGCACATGCCATTGAAAGGCATTACAATGCCTTGTAACGGGTTACAATGCTTCTGCAGTGTTTTCCGACAAAGTTGTAATTGGGGGTCGGCAAACGAAGGGAGATGTCTGAGATAATATAATGATCACGTGCTTGCCAAAAAAAGGCCATCATTCCTCATCGAAAACAATTCCTCTTGACTAGTACACCATGTATTAAATATCGCCATAATTATTACTCAATAATGATATTGAGATACCTGCACAGGATGGAAGTGTCATATCCGTGCATACCCGACCCCGACCCGACTTCCGGACCTCCACCCTCTTCACCTCCGGTGTAAGGGATTAACCTTACTTCACTATAATTCCGATTATAGTGATATTTATATTATGTTGCATCACTATAATTCCCATTATAGTGATGTGTTTATTTCTTTATTTATTTGTGCCGAGATATGTAAATTACATATATATACCTCGGAGTAGTTGTAAAGGCCCGTTAGCCTTTTACCTCTACCCCGTTGAATATACAGCTCATTAAAGCTTATGTTTAGACGGACCTACTGAGGCCTGAGGCGAACAGGGGAACGGAACGTTACCGTCCCCAAAATAGTAAGCAACCTTTCATCCGGAGTCATAACCTACCGCTGCCGTTCCGATACTCACCTTCGGTCCTGGCAACACACCTCCTCCTACTACTCCGCTCCCCCTTCACAACACCTCCACCCTCCCGTTAACCTCCTACGCTTCCCCCGTCCGCTCCGATACTCACCTTCGGACCTGACTACTCTCCTTTCCGCCACTCTCTCCTCCCTCCGTTACTCCTCCACCACCCTTCCGCCAAGTTACAACCTTCTACCGTTGTTCCGTACTTCGCACTCGGACACCGCTCGTACCTTACTCCGAGCCTCCGTCATAGTCCCTACCTCGGACTTTGACTCCACCTCGGCCTTAGTCCATTGCATTGGTGACCTCATACTACGTAAACACCATTGCCAATATTCCTCGGACTTCCAACCCCGCCTCCGTAACCTCCGTAAGCTCCGCAACCCCCGAGCTTTGTGGACCGCCTTCGGCGCTCTCGCCACCTGTAATGTATTTCTCGCATTTTCCCTTCATCCCTATTTGGACTACTGCTTCCTTCTATTCTAGCCAGTTAGTCATCATCCCCACTTCCCCTCATCCTCCTGCCCCTCTGGGCCTCGCCCTCTCTACCTCCTTTCGGACGTATCACAGGTCTTGCTGTTACAAAAATGGGGCCGGAGGCGCCCATTTTCGTCCGTTCTTGACACAGGAAAGTGGAAAGTAGAGGTGAGGTGGTTCATTAGGGTTTACAGATGGTTTCACAGATGGTTTAACATGTAGTTTAACAGGGAGTGTGGCAGCAGGTTTTTCGTTGATTATTGATTGGTTAAACTTAATTACTATACAAATCATGTGATACAGAACCCATAAGAGTCTAAAATGGGAAATTCCCATT